TGCTGAACCCTGAAATAGAAGCAGAACACGTGTTAATGTCGCCCAACTCATTTGTCAAGCTCCAGACAAACAGGTATGTGACTCAGCGCGGCTTCGTCCAGGTTGCGAAGCTGTGCTCACATCCGATGGCTCATTTGTCGAAGTCGTCAGGAGCCGTGGGTTCCTCGGCGAGCTGCACCTCCCTCCTGGTGTCGCGCTGGAAGCGGGTGCGACCTCTGCCCTCCTCCCGTCACTGGGGACGTCCACTGCTTCAAAGGGGGAAAAGCGCCAGCTTGGAGGTGTTCAATTTCTCGAATGCCCCTGTGTCTTCAAGACTTGCTGTTCCGTGTAGTCTAGGAGCCGGGGCGTCACCTGGGGGTTCGTGAAAATGTGGATCTCGGCCCCTGCTGGGTGGTGGGGACATGCATGAGCACAGAGAAGCGGGGTTTTGAAGGCTGCCTGCAAACATGCCTCCTGCCCGGCATTCTAAGACGATGCTTTGGGTAGTGGTGCCTTGTGTGTGAACTGCGGGTGCAAAGTTGGGCATTGTAAGGAGAGACACACACACGTGGGGGACGCACAGCCAAAAGTGTCACCTCCCGGCTCCGTGCAGGGCTCTAGGTCAGAGGTGGGTGACAGCCGTGCCCTTGAGGAGTCCAGTGGGGAAGAGGGCAGCGTAGAGAGCCAAGGGCTGTAATGAAACGAGGTACAGTGTTGAAGCCACAGCCCAAAGGAAGGCCTTCCATGCGAGGATCCGGGGAGGCACGCCCCCAGTGGAGATGCTGGAGCTGGGACTTAAAGGATGCATAGGAGGTTAAGAGGCTGGGGTTGATGAGGGAGGAGAAATTTGAGGCAGAAGCAGTGACATTTGCTTAAAGTCATCTGCAGAGGCTTTGTGGGATTGCGGCACAGAGAGAGGGTGAGAGGGGGCCAGGCCTGGGAGGCTTTTCCTTCCTTTCTTTCCTTGTAACATCAATGAATATGTAAAACAGCATAAAATACTGCATAATTTGTCTTCTCCCCAGAGCATATTATCAGTAGTTTTCCAAACCACGTTCTTAGCAAGTGCCCGTTTTTATCCAGTTACTGGCCCTTGGAAATAGGACAGGGCAGGGCCATAACTCCCATTTCACAGTTGAGGAAGCCGAGGCCGAGAGAGGGGACACGTGTGCCTAAAGAGGCACAGTTGTCAGCAGGCTGTTGGGTCTGCCTTTGGGCTCCATCCAGCTCAGAGCCCCGTCCTCTTCCCGCTGCACCAGGCTGCCTTATTTGAGCCATCTGGAGACAGTTTACCATGGAAGGGTCTTTGACAGCAAGTGCCTGTGCTGCTGAGGGGACCCTCAGCTCCCGCATCCTTCCCTCCCACCGACGGGCTCGTGGAAAGGTGCCGCTCTCCTTGGAACCCTTGGTTTTACAAATTAGGTTTCCTGTTGGCAACTGGTGAGCTGCAGCAGGCTGTGCACAGCGTCCTGGTGCTCGGCGGGGCTGAGATTGGGCCTCTTCTCCCGGGAGCAGCGGGACTCCCAAACCCCGGGCCCCTTGCTGTGGCACTCCTGCTGTCTGTCAACACGGGTCTGGTTTGTTTTCCAAAGGGATGGCGCCGCCTCTCTGAGCTATCATGTCCTGGACGGGCCTGAGAAGGTTCCCATCGTGCACGTTGATGAGAGAGGCTTCCTGGTGTCGGGGTCCCTGATCGGGACATCCACTGTCGAAGTGACGGCCCAAGAGGCTTTTGGGGCCAACCAGACCATCATCGTGGCTGTCAAGGTAGGATCACGTCCGCCTCCTTTTTGGAGTAATAAAATCAGCAGTACTGTTGTCCCCTCGCAGGTGTGTAAGTGAGTATACTCACCTTCCAGCCAAGAAATTGTCTGGAAGAGTTTATTAAAGGTCCTAGGTGAGAAGCTGCAGCATCTTCTGGATGTCGGAGCCGAAGATCCTTGGAGATGATTGATGGCAATGACCTCGTCTCATAGATGGGGAGACTGAGGCCCAGAGAGGTCCACGGTTTTCTGGGACTGGCACTCCAGTGTCCTGACCGGTCAGCACTGAACATGTGTGCTGGCTCTTGACCCAGAAAGCATTACATTACAGACGGCACCTCGTAGGATGAGGTGACCCATCTTACAGGCAAGGCGACCAGGACTCAGAGTGTCGCACGGTAATTGAGAGTCAGGCTCTGGGTTCTAGCCCACGTCGGCCTGGCCCAGCTTGGTGTCCTCCAGTCCCAGCCAGCACTCCCGTGTCCCCTTGCCATTCTGTGCTCCTCAGAGACAGGACTTTCTCCGTGGGCGTCCCTGGGTCGGGTCCTGGGGTTTATCCTGAACAGTGTTTTCTTTGCACAACTGATCCTCAATGACAGAGAATACATGACCAATGTAATATTTAGATTTTGCTTGGGTCGTGGGCCTATTTCCTTCCTAACCTCTTTTTGTTTCAAGATGGGTGTCTAGCAGGGAACCGTCCACCCTAGTTTTCGAGTCAGTGAAAGTGACTGATCACCCATCCTGTGTCAACAAATAGTATTGAGCACCAGCTGTGTGCCGGTCACTGCACCACTGACCTTGATCAAAGAAACTGGGTTTTTGCGGGGCTGGCTTTTCGGCCAGGATGGATTTTTCCTGGAGTCAGAGAACCAAGTCTGCTCTCTAAAGAGCTTGCTCTCTAGGGCTCCCGAAACCCATCATCCCCTCCTTTTGCCATCTCCCCTTTAACTGGGGCATCTGTTCCTGGCAGCTCTGTAGCGTACGGAGGCCCCCAGGCAACGCTGCCCCTGCCGTCCGAGCGGGCATTGTTTCTACTTTAAATGCCTGGAGAGCCAGGTCCTCCAAAGAAGCTGAGCAGTCAAAGCCCAGAGGATATTTTTGCAACATGAATAATGATCTAATTTGTCACAGTCATGGCTTTTGACTCTAGCGGGTTGGGTTTCCTGAAAGCGAGGCCGGCCGTCATGCAAGGAGGGGGCCAGCGTCGCGGGCTGAGCCGCTCTTTCCATGACCCCAAGTCGGTCCAGCCCCCATGCCTCCTGAGATGGGGACTGGCTAGGGGCAGGCGTCCGTTCTCGGGAGGGGGCTCTTCAGAGAGGTGTTCCTGGCGCAGTTGTCACCGCACTTGCTCACTGTCCCCAGGTGTCCCCTGTTTCCTACCTGAGGATCTCCATGAGCCCCGCCCTGCACACCCAGAACAAGGAGGCTCTGGCGGCCCTGCCCCTGGGAGTGACCGTGACTTTCACCGTCCACTTCCACGACAACTCCGGAGACATCTTCCACGCTCACAACTCTGTCCTCAACTTTGCAACTAACAGGTAGAGAGTGGGCCCCCCTCGTTCCCCACATGAAGTCACGTCTCGATCAGACCCAGATCTGATTCACGCAGGTGGCTGATGGCCACGTGGAGAGGCCAGCGCCCCTGAGAGGAGAGTTTGTTACTCACGGTTCCCAAGAGCAGGGGGTGCGCCTTGCTCGCAGGGCCACGGGGGAAGCACCAGGCTCAGCCAGGCATCAGGAGCAAAAGGGGAGGCGTGGCCGAGAGTCTGTATTCCCAGAAGGCACGCAGTCATTCAGCAGAGGTGTCCCCAACGGGCAGGAAGCAAAACCCAGATGTTGGGGTTTGTGGTTGGAAGGTCTGTAATGAGATTTTGTGCAGCCGTGAAGGCTGGGCTGCAGGGGAGATGCATACAGCCCTGGTCGCTGGCCTGGCCCTGTGGTCAGTGGATGCAGAGCGCCAGTTATACCTGCTACAAAAGCTGGTCAGAGAAAACACACACCTTCCAACGCTCAGGCCCTTCTGCGTGCCGTCTCGCCGACTCCTGGCTGTCACCCATTTGTAGAGGCCCAGAGAGGTCAAGCCACTTGTCCAGGGCCACACAGCCAGGAAGTGGGGTTTGAACACCAAGTCCCATTGGGCTCCAAGGGCAGTTCCTTTTGGCTGATGCTTCTGAAATACAAATGCAGCCTCAGGCCTAATGTGAGGAGAGAGGGGGTGGTCTCCAGGAAAGAGAGCTGTGGCCTCAGGCTAGACCTGCCCACTTGTCTGAGTCTACTGGAGCAGCAGTTCGCAAAGTGTGATCCCCAGACCAGCATCATTACCACCGCCTGGGACACTCAGAAATGCACATTCTCAGGGCCCAACAATCTGGGCTGTAACGAGGCCTTCAGGTGATTCTGAAGGTTAGGAACCGTTGTCCTGGGGGATGCAGACCAAGCTAAGAGCAGGAGGGAGGAGCCCCAGACCTAGGAGGAAGGAGTAGCACTCCAGAGAGTCCTCTCTGGGCGCAGAAGCTCATGTCCCGGTGTTGGTGACCATTGCAGCGTGGGCTTCCCATGGGCCCTGGAGCAGATGTGTCCCCTGTGGCTGAACACACCCAGGGCCGGGCCCTGGGAGAGCGGGGTTTGGAGTTGGGCCCTGTTCAGGCCGGGCTCAGCCCTTTATGGGGCCCGTGAGCTTGGGCAGGTCACCCTTCCAGGCCGCTGTGTCCACACCTTTCACGTGGAGAACGTGGCCTAGTCCCCGGGGCTACCACCTGAGGCTGTGGTCGCCAGGGCCTCTGGCATGCCGTGGCGCTCTGCGCGCACAGCAGGGCATCTGCCGGTCTGGGGCGAAGCCTGCCCTGGAGGGAGCGGCGCCCCCTGTCCAGCTCTCCTGCTGCCCTGTAGAAGTCACACGGGCCTCTGTGGCGGGGAGCGTCCATCTCCGAGAGAGCGGTCAGGGCTCGGGGGTGTGGGCAGGGAGGCAACGGAGCAGAGACCCTGACCCTCCCCCTGCCCAGCCCAGCCGTCCCTCCGGCCCCGCGGAGGCTGCCGTCACTGAGGGCCCCCCGTGTGCCCATGTGCCGGCTGCTGGCCTAAGCCTTTTCCAGCTGCTGACCAGGTTTGCGGCTCACGTCAAGCCTGTGACGTGGGTACATTGTCAGCCCCACTCGGCAGGTGAGGAAGCGGGCAGGGGCGATGTCACTGGTCCCAGTAACACGGCAGAAGGCAGCCTGTGCCTCCCCAAGTGTCCTGGTTCCCTACTGGGAAGGGATGGGAGCACAGGGTACATCACTTTCCTCTGGGGGGATGGTGACGCTGGCCATCCTGTCTGGGCTGTGGGTCCCCCCGCCTCACCCGGGTGGAGGGTGAATCAGGTCGGTGTGGCCTGTGGGTCCCTCACCCGGGTGACATCAGGGCGCAGTGGGCGGGTGCAGGGGCCCTTCGCTGGCTCCTCCCTCAGAGCTGGGGGCCTCTCCCGAGACTGAGAGCCACGTCTCCTGTGCCCAGGGACGAGTTTGTGCAGATCGGGAAGGGCGCCACCAACAACACCTGCGTGGTCCGCGCGGTCAGCGTGGGCCTGACGCTGCTCAGAGCGTGGGACGCGGCACACGGCGGCCTCTCTGACTTCGTCCCGCTGCCTGTCCTGCAGGCCATCTCCCCCGAGCTGTCCGGAGCAGTGGTGGTGGGGGACGTCCTCTGTCTGGCCACGGTTCTGGTCAGCCTGGAAGGTACGAGAGATTCTGGCCGAGGGAACCATCTCTGTGGTTGGGAGGTGGGACGGGGCTCTCAGCCCGCTGTGACAGGTGTGCACGTGGAGCTTGGTGATGTTCTAGAGCAGGCATCGGAAAACTGCTGCCCCGGCCAGAGCCAGCGTGCCGTCTCTTTCTGCAACAGGCTGTTATTGGTGCTCGGCCACACCCCTCCATCTCCGTGTCATCAGTGGCCGTTTTCCCGCTGCATCTGCTGGGCCGAGTGGTGGCATCAGAGACCCTCGGGCCCACACAGCCCCAAAGACTTACAATCTGGCCCTCTACAGAGGAGCTTGCCCCGCCTTGCTCTAGGGGTTTCCACCCTTGTGGAAACCGTCTTCCCCCATAGCCACGAGCCACGGGACCCTGCAAACGTGGCTGGTGCAGCTGAGGAGCTGACTGTTCGGTGTCTTGTTTGGTTGTGGTTTTGGCCGCGCCACACGGCACGTGGGATCATAGCTGCCCTGGTCCCGCGCCCCCCTGCACTGGAAGTGCGGTGTCTTAACTGCTGGACCACCAGGGAAGTCTCTGACTGTTCGGTGTTGATGAGCTTCTTGGCGGGGCTGCTGCACGGGCAGGTGCCTCTAGGAGGGAACCTCAGCCAAGGAAGCCGCTAAGCAGTAGGGCGACTGTCCACACCACCCGTGCATCCACGAGCCACACGTGCAATCATTTACTTAATTTTTTTCCTAATTGGCTCCCTTGTTTTAAAGCTAATTAAGCTCATTATAAAAGGAAGTTACACGCTGCCTTTAAAGAAAAGCAGGTATTATTTGCCACAAATAGAATGTGGCTGTTGAATCTTTTCATTGCGTTTATCATGTGATGAGATTGGCTCTTCACTGAGGACCGCCGTCTAGTGACAGCTCAGAGTCTGCCACTGCCTTGTTTGTTCAAAGGGGATTGCAGAGCAGGGTGGGCGGGCGGGGGCGGTGCAGTGGGGAGGCATGCAGTGGGCCGGCCCTGAGGGGCCAGCACCCGGGTCACCCCAGGGCGGGAAATGACCAAGAGATTCCCAGCAGGGAGGCACTGTGGTCACAGACAGCAGCCGAGCGGTGGGATAGGGGAGCATGGGGCTGGGGACGGCGAGGACGCTGCCCAGGTGACCCAGGTGAGACGCGGTGGCTGGAGTGCCAGTCATGGGAAAGAGGGGTCACGTGCAGCTTCCCCTCCCAGGCATCCCCGGAACCTGGAGCTCATCAGCCCGCAGCATCCTCCACGTCGACCCCAAGACAGGCGTGGCCGTGGCCCGGGAAGCGGGATCTGTGACCGTTTACTACGAGCTCGCCGGGCACCTGAAGACCTACAAGGAGGTGGGGCTTTGGGGCCCACGTGGCCGAGCCTCTCGGGGTGGAACCCTCAGATTCCATACTGACTGCTTCCCGTTTGTTAGGAAGCAGGAAGGTCCAGCACCTCAGGAGGCAGGCGGATGGGGATTCGTGAGCCTGGTGGGGGCAGACTTCCCCTCCCAGGCTGCCGGCTCCCTAGTCCACAGTGGTGGGAGGATGGAGGCGGCCTCCTGGGGGGTGATCCCCGCGCCCACGTGCTTCGGCTGAGCCCTGGGGGCAGGATTGTCTGCGTGGGCGTTCCCCGGGAGTCGCGGCCGTAGGTGGTCCCGCTTAGCGATTTGGCATCACCGGCAAAGTTCAATTCCCCCAGCAAGTCACCTTTTGAGTCTTTCTGGAGGGGAACAGAACC